GGAATGTATTTCTGCACAGAACGAGCACTGTGGATTTTGTCTCCCAACTCTACTTTAGAGGCAAATTAGGAGCTGATCTCGTGACAACCAGTACAGAACAGTGGGAATGACACCAGCAAGCAAAAACTGTTGTACCTAATGTACATTTGAGCTATTGTTTCAGAACAGACTTACAAAATGTAAAAAAAAAAAAAAAAAAAAGTGGACATTGTTAGTTGTTACACTTATTGTTACACTTCAAACTTTCACATAGCTCCCAAATGCCACTCCTTCCCCTTTTCTCTATTTCTGCCTCACTTACTAGAGCTCTCTCCCATTTCCACATCTCTTATGATCCAGTTCTCTCTCTCCATCTCCTCTTCTTTTTTATTTCTACCCTGTCATTATCCCTCCGTCTATGTGTCTGCCTCCAAATGACTGCCCATCTCATCTTCCATCCATAACTCCTGTCGCTCTCTCTCCATTACCAACTCCATTTTATCTATCCATCTAGCTTGTTACACTTCAGCAAATATCCAAGCCTTTCTGTCTTAAGATTTTATTAGTTTTTAACAGTTTTAGACATTGCATTGGGGGAAAAAAAGTGAAAATTTCTCCTCAACAGATTTTTTTTCTTGTTTGAGAAATTTCTGAATTTTTACATTTAATGCTAAAGGATTCATGTTTAATGACATTTTAAAAACTATCTAGCTATTTATTTATTTCTCTCTATCCATCCATCTCCTTCCTTGCCTCTCCTCCGAGAGAGTGTGTCAGTGCTGGAGTTGGGTTGCTGTCAGGGGAGGAAGGGGTCGGCTGCCTCCATCCGTCACACAGTATCGACAGCGGAGAGAGCCTGCGCAGCCATGCATTTGATTATCTGACCGCCCTCTCTTTTCTCTCCTGTCTTCTCTTTCCTCCGCCTCTGCTCCCAACAGCTCCAGATCAAACACACTGTGACCGAGGCCGAGATCCAGAAGCTCAAAAACAAGGTAAGAGATTAAAACTGTCAGGTCGCAGGCTGGTTGTGGGTGCAAATGACAGAAGTTGGTCGGAGTTCAAACTATTTGTAAATGGATGTGTGAGTAATGTCAGGACAAAAGTGGAGCAGGGGTTCATGTTTGATGGGAAAGCTTTAGGAATAGATAGACAGCCACTAATGCTTTGGTGTGTGGGACAAATTACATTATATAATCTGTTAAATATGAAAGCTTTTATTCTAAAATGCAATATCCTTTTTTATCCAACAACATTGTCTAGGATTCGTTACTCAGTAGAAGTATCATTTGCTATCCTGTTGTTGTAACTCAAGTTGGTTGTGTCCCTTTCAAAGTTGGCGTCAGTGGAGAGGGAGAAGCAGCGCTGGGAGAAGGAGAAGACCCAGCTGAAGGCTAGCATTGAGGAGAACAAGGAGAGGATGTTGAAGCTGGAGAGCTACTGGATTGAAGCGCAGACCCTCTGCCACACGGTCAACGAACACCTGAAGGAGGCCCAGGCACAGTACCAAGCTCTAGAGAAGAAGTACAACAAAGCCAAGAAACTCATCAAAGACTTCCAGCAGAAGTGAGTGAACCTGGGTTAAACTGGCCATCCTAATCTGGGATTGGAGAATATGAGGGAAGCATATATTCTGAATATGGAAGATGTAGCAAGACATTTCAAACTTTTCCCAGTTAGATGAGTAATTTAACCACAATTTTGACCCCCTTTAAGGTGCATTTATGTTGCTGGTGCAGCTTGAAAATTTATGATTATCTACTATGTAATGCAAACGTGAGGTGGGATTAGGACCCAAAGTTACTATAACTAATCCTGCATTCTCTAATTGAGGTATCTGATTTAATCAGGACCACAGAAAGTTCCCTGACTTTACCTTGAACACTACTAGAATCATTCAGTAAAAGTCATTAGGATGTACTACTATTTGAAAAACAATATAAAGCCATTGTCTGAAGACATTTTATGCAATTATAGCATATTTCAAATTATTCTGATAGCATACATTTTTGTTTGTAGAAAAATTAGATAATCCAGTGAGAATTTGTGCGGTGTATGTGATGTTTTTAGCCTCTTAACCTCAGTGTTAAGTACTGCAGACAGGACAGTGCTAAAGCGTCTTAACACAAGGTCCACTCACAAGCTTTTTCTAGCAGATGGAGTTTGCTCCTGTCATGTCTCATGAAGTTAGTAAACTTTGGACAGTGATAACCGATATAGCATATATGTTTTTGGATCCGAGGCAGCTTGACCTGACCTGATGGCTGATGCTTTAGTCAAAAAAACTTCTTCTTAACCAACTCTTGTCTTCTTGACTTGGTGAGTGAGGCACTTGGCATTGGATCAGTCCTGCCAATAAACTTACATTTTAATAAATCATTTTAGATAAATTGCTTCATTATTCCTTTCACAGCCTCACTTGCTTCAATGAGCAGAAAAGAGAATATCTACTGCATTTCCATCTGTGAGGCAGAGCGGCTCTTTTTATAGCCAGAGTCTTATCCCATTTCAGCAGTGAAAGCTGAGTTTCCATTCGTATTCAGCGCAGTGTCTTTTCAGTGCGTTGATCTTTTTGGTCAGTCCCATTGCAACCACTCCAGCTCAGCTGTAGTCTGACTGCCTCTAATTGGCTCTGGCCCTGCAGGCCAAATGGAAGCTAACTGATGAATCAAACCCTCCATGCTGATCTGAAGTAGAGGACTGAGCTGCAGAGGAGATACAGCGAGCTCACAGACCAAGGGCAAAGCAGGCACGGGGAAACGGCTGTATTTAGTATTCTTAGGGATGCAAATTTATGTGTGTTATTTGTGTATGTGTGTGTGTTCACTATGAGCAGCAGGGTCAGTGTGAAATGAGTCACACTGACATCCTGAAACAGCCTCGGCTCCCTTATCGCCACAGCTGAGCAAGAGGCGGGCACCGTCACACATGGCCACGCAGACATTGAACATGTCTTGTTGTCCTGCATTAACACACACCTACTCAGCACATTACGATCTCCCCTCACTCTCGTCTCTCCAGAGAGGTGGAGTTTATCCAGAAGGAGGATGCGGAGAGGAGGCGGCTGGAGGAGGCTGAGAAAGCCCACCTGGCTGAGATCCAGGGACTGCAAGTCAGGGTAAACCAGATCTTTTGAAGTTTACTGTGTCATATCTCTCACCTCTTATCTCTCCCTGTATACCTCTCTGTGTTTTATTTCTAAGTGAATAAGTGAAAGTGAAGTGCTCATGAGCTCTGCAGTTCTTCTCTGTGCTTAATGGTCAAGATTGTTGGGTTTTGCACATTTTATATATTTATGCAGTACTTTTTAATCAAAATCAACATGATCAGTGTGTCTTGTAACAGCACTCACTAATGTTTTCCCTCAAAATAGCGCCTGGCATATCTGTGCCACTTCTGCCACATAGAGAAAGGTTTTCTCCTCCTTGGACACTTTTACTCCGTGTTCAGGAGCCTGTGGTTGTTTCTATTGTCACACTCTGTATTGATTTTCTGCTTTCCTAGCCTTTAAAACATGACCGCTGTGTTGTTTTCTGCTGGTCTCTGGCCAACCTCTTCAGTCGAATAGGCAGTCAACCCGACTGTCCCCTACTATTATTCTGCACACTCAGTACCCATTTCAAAAGTAGTAGTAGTAGACATTTCAAAATCATAATGTAGGTAATTTAGTTCAGTGCTTTAAAGCAGCTGTTTTGACAGGTAAATGCCTACTGCTGATTAACATTGATCGGTTCCTCTCCCTCCACAGATTGCAACTTTAGAGTCGGAGCTAATGCAGCTGATGAAGCAGAACGGCATCCAGGTCAACAACAACAACAGCAACAGTGCTGAGAGGCTCAGCGTTCCGCAGCACAGCCCTAAAAGGGCTGCAGCACAAGCCATAGGTCTGTTTTTGAGAGGAAATATTCACTTTCTCGCCGATAGTTAGATGAAAAAATCAATACCACTCTCTCATGTCTGTCTGGTAAATGTGAAGCATAAAGCTGGCCTCGCTCTGTCCAGAGGTAACAAAATCACCTACAAAGCTAAGCATTACATAAAATAAAGTTTAAAAAACAAGTTGTAGTTTAATAGTGGATTATGTGCACAAGGTCACTGCACCCAGCCAAAAAAAATCAGTTTTTGTCCTGGCAAACACAACTAAGCATTGATTCTTACCAATTAAAGAAACAACATCATGTTAATTAGCTCTGGAGATGCCGTTGGGGGTATTTTTTCTAACATATCGATGGAGCCAGGCAACCCCTTTTCCCAGTCTTGTGCTGACAGACATGAGAGTAGTAGTGATTTTTACATTTAACTCTAATCATCGATCTTATCACCTAATAAGTGTATTTTCTCAAAATGTCAAAGTATTCTTAATGAATGCAGTGACAGCACAAATAGGAGATTAAGCGATAATATGAACATCAACTCTGCATCTACTCCTATTAATGTGTGATATATGTCTTCTGTGAACTTTATAAGTTTCCCTGTTGCATTTCTTATTTAAATAAAGTGTCAAATAAGTACCTAAGATGACCCATGATGCAATGCATGTTGCTTCCCCTCGTAGTTTATTGACTCTTCTTGCCTCTAGAAAATGCAATTCATACGCAGAGTGAGGCCTGGATTTCTCTCAAACACACACATACACACACACACACACACACACACACACACACACTCACACACTCACACACACACACACACACGCACACATCCTCCTCTTCTCCGCTGCCTTCACCTTCACACACACTTTCCGTCTGACTTTAGCTCAGGATCACCGCAAACAAAAGCAAAGCACGTAATCCCTTTTGAGCACATCTGTCTAGCTTTGTTCTCCTCGAGTCTTTTTAAGCTCCGCTGGCTTCATTTCGGTGGCTGCATCTGTCGGAACAGAGAGTGCACAGAGAAGTGCCATATCTGATGATGTACAGTGCAGACGGGATAACAGAGTGATTGGCTCTGCACTGATCTGAATGACGCAGCCTATTATGCAATATTAAAGGGGGGTGGGGGGCACGTGGGAGGAGAAGACAGAATCTGTTTGATCTTTCAAATTTAAATAATTTCTGTTTTTGTCTCATATGACAGCGTCTCCCTGTGTACTCAGGGAATGAGCAGAAAATGATAATTGCCTGCCTAAATGATAGTGTTAGGGGAAGACTTGATATTTTCACTTGAGTTGATGTTTTGTAATAGACTTTTTTTAAAGGGGGTGTAAACACTGGGCCAGATTAAGTGCATCTTAATAACTGAAACAAAAGAAAATGTACATTTGTTAATTAGAAGCATTGCCCATGAATTATGTGCTTTACAGAGTATATTTTTGTTACCTTTAAAACTAAATCACACTTTGTTTTCTCTCGTGTGTGTGTGTGTGTGTGTGTGTGTGTGTGTGTGTGTGTGTGTGTGACCCTAGACCTGAGGGACAGCTCTCCCCACTCACCAAGTAAAAAGAAAAGCTACAGAGGAGTCGCCCGAGAAAGCTTCAGCTCCACAGAGGGAGAGGTTTGTATTAAAACACACACACACCTGCACATTTTTGTTGTTTTCAGTGACAGATGGATTTCTTATTTCACAAACATCTGTTAAAATATCGACCAGATGTGATGTGGAAAAATGTGATATTTAATAAAACAAGCTCCACTATTCTCATTAGACCACTCTCACATTTAATATGTCTTTAATTTCACCACAGGATGTTTGATTAGTGTATGTATGTGTGTGTCTATCAGCCTGTTTGTGTGTCTTTAACCCCTGTCCATTTCACTCTGTTCCTTTAATGGATTAATTGCTATGTGTTGCTCTGCGGCACTAATTGAGTCTGTCACAACTTATTGTCTCACCCAGTGTGATAATAACAGCCACAGTCCTTTTCTGGATGAAAGACTTTTGTCTGGCTAATGCTGTCACTTTACTCAGCTAGAGTTCAGCTAGTTCAGATTGAATAAACAACTCGAGAAGTGGATCAGAATTGGCAGGAACACAGAAAGCAGGCAGTGGGAGGCTTCCCGGGGAAAAGAGGGCGAGGAATTAGAAATGGTGAAAGTATGTCAAGTGACTTCTTTCAGATTAGTCCTCAGTACTGGCTGTTCAGATCACTTCCTTTGAATGTGCTCTATGCTTCATTTTTTCTGCCACCACTTCTGAGCCTGTGCTTTCAGCTCTTTCAGCAAATTTCCATTCATTTTCTTTCCATCACAATTCTCTCTCTCTCTCACTGGCTCTTCCTACCCATCCTCACATTTCATTCTACTTTCTCCTCATTTTGCTTTATCTTTCCTTCTCTTTTTGGCCCTTTACTTCTGCCTTCAGGTCTTGGAGGGGCATGGCAGTCCAACCCACAGTCGTTCTGGTTCGATCCGTAGCGCGGCTTCCTGTGATGGAGGAGCTGCAGTCCTCAGGGGCCTTGGCAGTGCAGAAAGCTCCCCCAGACGAACACTGCCCTCACCGTCATTAGCAGGAGCCCTCCAGGACGGTCAGTACACCGGTCTGCACCCTCACTACATCCCATAATGAAGGATAAATAGTCCCCAATAAATTTCTAGCTGTATCTACTGATAGAAATTTCCTGCAATAGTCCAATTCCAAAATGTCTCTGATTATCATATTCCTGTTTTTGCCATCTAAGCTCGTCACTTGAAGTAGGAGTAACCTCAGTGTTTGTGATCACAGGTTCTGAGCCTCCTGCACTGTCGAGCCCCTCTCACAGTCTGGAGGAACACAGACATGTTCTGGACCCTGGGTAAGACCTCAAATAGTGGAATGACATATTTTAGTTTTCAATTGTACACATACCAACTAACAATGCATTGCAGAAAATGATATGTATTCATTTGTCAGGATTTTGTGATTTGATGGGGAATGTAACAATTATTTTAAAGGATGTGTTTGGTCAGAGTGGTACCAGTGATGGGTGACATGTTTACATTAAGTGTGCAAACTACATTTTCTCACTCTGCGTTGTTTCCATTCAGGTCCTCCCTCAGGAAAACTAAAGTGAAGGACAAAGATCCCAGAGCTTCACCTGGAAACAGGTAAATAATAACTGCATAAGAGTTCTAGTGTTGTTTTCCTGCAGCTTCTCTGGCGTTAACTGATGAATAATAAATAGTGAGACACTGTCCAGCTGAACATCTGGATTTTTTTGCCTTAAATCAGTCCTGCTGTTGGAATTGTTTATGGAGGTGTGGTACAGTAATTATCATTACTGATCTCTATGTTATTCCTCTCTTCCTCCATTTCTCTCTCTTTCTCTCTGTCAGCTCCATAGAGCCGTCAACAGAGGACAGTCCAGAAAAACTCAAGGCCAAGTTACATGAGGTTTGGCAACTGTACATTGGGCAGAAATAATGATTCACTTTACAGATATTTTACAGTGAGGACATTAAGTGACACTTTTTTGTTCGTTTAATGACAAGTTTTCCTGTTATGCCATTTGCCTTTGATGTATTATGTTATTTCTTTTGAACAGACCTCCCTTACGTGGCCCCACTTCTTCTCATATTCATATTACTTGGTATTGTATTCTTTTGTGTTTTGTTCAGTGGCTCAATCCATTGTATTGAAAATGAGTTGGTGCTCTAAGAAGTGAACGGGAAGTGATTGTACTACAATGATAGAAATGCATAATTGCATTGTTAATTGCAAGAAAATCAATTAGTAGGCCTACATAATTCTAAATATCTCTTATAATCTCAACTATGCCTTCAGCAACACGGCAATTTTAGTTATCGTATGATCTGCAGTAGTACTAAATTCCAATTTTGTGGGTAAATCTGTTCTCAAGTAAAAATCAGTTGGTTTCATAATGCATCTTGAATCAGTTAAGATTTAAATTGTTAACATGGGCATTTGTTGCAGTGGATGCAAACTGTTTCTAATCCTGTTTTAAAATCAGCTGTGGTTGCCACTGGACAGAGGAGGAGATTATATTTGATTCTGCACCAGTCTAGTTCTTTTCTCTCTCCAAGGACATGCTCTCAGCTTAAGACGAGTGCACATCAGAAGATAAATCAATGCAGAATTTATACGCATTAATAGTCATGTGGAGCTTTTAAGTAAGGATTCATCCCAGACAGCTGAAAGTCTGAACATGTAAGATTTCTCTCGCTTTTACCTCAGACTTTACTGAGACAAACAAACTAAACTCTGTCAAGCTACAGTATATAGCTCAATGTAAGACCAAGCACTACACTTTTAACACAAAATCTTATATAAAAGGGGAACTTTCTCTCTGAAAAACTATTTGTTTGGGAGTTAAAACAAGAGGTTTTCACTTTCATCTGAGGAAGACCAACAGCGATATTTTTCTACAGATCAAGTGCTGCAAGTACTTTTCCCTTCCCGATAGTCTGTATTTCTCAGCAGCAGCTCGTCTCTGGATGTTTGAGCACAGATCTTGGATCTTAATACTGTAATTCCATAAATGTCCACGCTCTCACACACTCACAAGGACATAGAGAGAGGGAGAGACAGATTTAGAGTTGGATAGCATCCAGCTACATCATTTCTAACCACTAATCACATTCACACTTTGTGCTATAAAGGAACGTCTTAGAATTGAGGGATGTGCACAACCTGCCTTCTTGCAGTCTGTCAAACTGCTTAAATATATTAGTCTAATGTACTTTTTATTGACTGTCAAAGAAGCACATCAATCATGCTCAGAGGAAAAGTCTTCATTTTCTTGATCCATTCACTCCTCATCCAGTCTCTCTCTTTAGGAAATAGAAATAGAGAAGCACTCCATCTAATCAACTAAATTCCGCCTCAGAGAGAGAGCGTTGGCTCTCACCACCAGTCTTATAAGTGTGCTGTTGATTTCTCAGGGACCCACTTTGAATGATGATCTGAGTGCCAGCAGCAGCAGCTCAGTGGAGATCAGCGGCCTGCTGAGTGAAGCCAAGATGTCGGGACGCTCACACGCCCTCGTGCTCTCTTCAGACGAGGTACACATACAACAATTTTTTTCTTTTTTAATTGAAGTCCACAATTGGCCAAGGTGATGATAGTTTGCTAGATGAAAGACAGCATTAATAACAAATACAATACATTACAGCTTACAAAATAAAAAATGAAATACCTTGTCAGATGTGGCAAAAATGCTCTAAACAGGACATCCAACAACATTTAAATGGAAACAACAACTGAAACTCCCACAATGCATCTTTTTATTCTTTTTCATTTCTGTCAGTGGCCCCATTTATTATCTTCATGGCAAAAATATGATCCCTACAGAGAGCAGCTTCTCTCATATTCTCCTGGCAGAAAACAACAAGCTAAAAATTAATTCACCAGTTTGGGCTCATTGTATTCAAATGCTGGTCTGTGCTGTAGTAGTGGAAGCCATATTGTTTTTTTCTCTGTTAACAACCCAGCCATCTTCTGTTGTGTTCCCTGCTGCCACGTTCAGAGTCTGGATATGATAGACGATGAGGTGAGACTGAGGCTGCAAGCCTCCAGAGGCTTGTGTTTCACTGCATGCATATGTCTCTAAAAGCAATTTGTCTGTGTCTCATTCCCACACATAGTTTATGGTGAAAAATGATTTTTCTCCACATGTCCCACAGAGTACTATGTGTTGCTGCAGAACTTAGTGGGAAATGTGTCAATAAGCATTATTCAGCATTTTGTGGAAGGTACACTTTAGTGCACGGTTGAATTCTGTTTGTTGGTAAGTTTTGCGTCTCATCTGCTTATTTCTCTCTGTCCACGTCTGTCTCTCTCCCCCCGTTATATATGTTCAGATCCTGGACGAGGGACAGTTTCTGAAGCAGCATCAGTGGCAGAACCGCAGCATACCAGAGTGGACCTCCCAGCAAGTGGCCCGCTGGCTCATGGGCCTCAACTTGGAGCACCATATCCCAGAATTCACTGCCCAAAACATAGATGGAGAACAACTGCTTCAGCTGGAGAGCGCTGAGCTCAAGGTAAATTAAAACTTCAGGTTTTTCATACATGCATGCTCACATACATACATCCTAGAGACAGCAATTTTATTAGCAAGTTGATTTTTCAATTGTAAAATGTCCCACCTAATGACATATCTTGGTCACAAGTATTTAAAAAACGTAAAGGATGATATAAATGTTTGTTTATGTTAAATGTTTATTTAAAATAAACTAATATCAGCAGATATATTGTTCAAACTCAAATAGTAAGGCTTGTATTCATTCATTTGTTTCAGGCCCTTGGAGTTGCTTCTTCCCAGGACCGTGCCCTGATCAAGAAAAAGATCAAAGACCTTAAAGTTCTGATGGAGAAGGCCAAGAGGAACCGAGAGAAAGTGGAGAAACAGCGTGAGAAGCTACGGAAGAGAGAGCTGGAGCAGCAGAAAGAGGCGCGCAAAGAAAGCGCGGCATAGTGAGTGAATTGTTAGATCACCTCCCGCTTTACTGTAGCACCACACCAAGTAGCATCTTGCGGAACAGAAATTCAGTGAGCCCTGAGGGACGCCTACTGGGTAGTTCAATAGTTGTCAGTGGTGGAGCTACACAACCAACTGTTGGAGATTGCTGATTGACTTTTTCACCAAGCAGATTAAACCAAAATGAGCAGATGGGTAATAGGATGCTGACCCATTAATTTGCCTCATTTTACACCCATCCCGTGTTTTTAGCCAATTAAGAATTTATTCAGTTGTATTTATTTTGCTGTTTATAGCTGTAAATTGGGTTTATTTATTCATATCCGGAATAAGTCTGTGAAAAGTCAACCTCATCCTCATCCCGTATCATCTTCAGAGCCGTCTGTGTTACCATCACAGGACATTTACAGGACATGACGACCATGTACATGTACAGTGATAAATACAGATACAAATATGTCTGATGTGCCATTTTGATAGAATTATGTGTAACCTGTTCACAGACATAAATCGCGTTATTTCTTTGACGAAGCACATACAGGTCAGGCCTGTGTGGTGGACTAAATGAGGCAGTACTCATATCCCACCACTGGGTGTCACCATGCTGCTTACTTTCACTACTGAAGAAGTAAACACTGGAACTGAAGTGGGAACCGACTTTCATTGGGAGAAACAAACTCTCTCAGTACTTGCAAGAACACTGGAAGTGCAAACACTGTAAATGTAACCTTACTGGCTTGTCCAATGCTCCTTACAGTATACATGTACCATGTACCATACTAAGCAGTTGACAAAGTATGAATGAAGACAAGGACATACTGTATTCGCTGGACTAGTTCTAATGGGGACTTCAGGTACAATGTAATCATGAAATTTGTAACTTACCAAACCCATACCACAAAAACAAAAAAGTTAAAATGACACTTCCTGCTTATATGCATAATGTTGCTTTGACTTCGCTTGTAACCTGCTTTTGACCTCTTTTTTTATATTCTCTCTCAATAACAAAGTAATACCCCGCTGCTGCCTTTAGAAATTCTATAGTAGTAGAATTTTTCTGAACTCTGCCCGCTTCTGTGTGAGTGTCAAAACACATACAGTAGACATTTCTAATTTTGTTTTGTTTTTTCATAACAATTACAGGTCAAAGTTCACCGTGCAAATTACTTTGGAATATCCTGAATAATGTGTAGGAATGCTGCCATATACATAAGGACAGAGTCCAGAAATTGTCTTATTAAAGATTATTGTACCTGATACTACTGATGTTACACTGGAATTTGCATCTGATAGATGCAATATAGTTAAGATTTTCTTATGAAGCTTCAGTAAGACACATTTTGATTTACTTGTTAGATTAAAAAAAAAACATTTTGAAATTATTTTGACACATGCATTTTATGCAATTCTTGTTTTAGGATTATGAAGCTCACTGAGAGACATGTTCCCTGTGTTACTTCTTTATCATTCCCAAGAATCATTCCGTAGGTTTACATTAAATATAGACACCAGTGTCACCGTCAGAGATATAGGCAGCTGTGGTTACGATTTCCTTTCGTCTTAAGGGCCCTGCCTGGTGCACTGTTAACAGGTTGAGAACAAGAATAATAATAATGGGGGTTACAGATACCTCCATGCAGTGCCACAGTAATACAGGTGTCACTGATCTGATAATGCTATTATTTATTTATTTCTGTATTTAATGAAGCAACTGACCACTGTTTATGATAACTTATACAAAAATAAGAGTATTATTAACACTTAATAATGATTTATCCAGAATTGTATGATTACTTCCTATTGCCAAAACATAATTAAAACTGTTCATTAAAAATTATTTAGATTCAAATGGTTGTTATCAAATGAAGGATTCAAAGCTTGGAAATGCAAAGCGAGAAGACAACACAGTAATGCTCTCCCATCGTGCTTGCGGTTTTCCTCTAATTCAACCGTAGTGCTGCTCCAGTGCTACTCCAATGAATCATGATGTGTTCTTATGACATATTTTGTAACACCTGAACCTTTCTGTGAATACCGCCCTCCTCTGTCAAGTCGGTCAGCTGACTGCACTCTTTTGACTCTTTTGTATGTATAGTAAAACACTGAGAGCAATACGCTGTAAGAATCCTAAAGAAGCCTTGTTTTCTATCGTGTCAGTGTGTGTGCACAGTTTGTCTGAGGGCTGAGGAGACTAAAAGGGCAGACCTGCAGCCCAAGTATGATTCTGGATCTTTTCTATGTGCTTGACTGAGACTGCCTGGCATGATGAAACCAGCGTATGGATGAGACCCTGGTGCTCCTGGCAGGCGAAAACACAAACGTCTGAGTCATGTCTGGAAGGGTTTGTCTTTCGTGCAAGGAGCAAAAGATAATCACAACAAACTGCTAGCCATGCTTTCACTCTTTTAAAAAAAAGCTGTGCTTATTCTTCTCCTCATCCTCCTCTTTTTGTCATTACCTTGCTCTCTTTTTCGCATTCTGAAAAGTTTGAAAGGGCAGCTACCTGTCACACTGAATAAAATGTGCAGTCACTGTCCATAGTTTGCTTTTGTTTCTTCTTTTTTAATTTGCCTGACTTCCTCCACTGTACATAATTTGTTCATTTACTAGCTTGAGATATAAATCTGTATCCCATGCAGCCAAACACTGCAAAATGTATGTTCCTTTTTCATCCTTCTTAGTCTAAAATTCCCCATGCTAAACCTGATAGTTACAAATTAAATAAATATGCAATATGATCCAGTCATAATAAAACAGAAGAATAGAAGAGATTAAGCAGCTTTCTCTCCTAAACCTTTGCCATCCCTATGCCTGTTATTTTTACCATGTGACCATCCGCTGCATGATGCCATTCTCTCAGTGGACATATGAGCTCTCCAGTCCCTCCCTCTCTACTTTCTATTTATATTCAGCCTAATTTCACTCCAGGGCTATTATTGTTCCCACTGACGACTCTCCCCTGTCACTTGTTGCCCTTCTTCTACTTCATTTCCGTCGTCAGTTCCTTTCCTCACACGCCTCCCATATCTGATGGCTGGGCTAATGGAGGCCTTCCAATGTGGGTATGGTTGACAACTTCATTACCACTATTTGTGCGTTTATTTCCAATCTCCTGCATGCTGTGTGGAGAACGTTAGTGTCCAAGCCAGCTGGTTTGGCATTGCCATACGAGGAGCGAGGCCCGTCTTTTAGGGAGTTCATGGAGGAGTTGAACCCCAGACAATTGGCTGTCAAACAGCTGAAGCAGCAGTTCCTAGAGGCCTTGCAGGCAAACAATGCCCAGCAGGTCCTGCAGATTCTGCACAGCGGGAAACTGGATATTGACACTGTGCTGGAGGTGGAGGACCCCAGCATGGTCCTAGCATCATACAAACAAGGTGAGGAGGAAGTAGGATGCGATTGATCCACATTTCACAAGCAGCAGTCAAATGAATGATGATAAACTGTATGTTTGCAGAGTTATCATGTGACTCCCAAGTCTGAGTATCCAGAGTGAAGACAAGATTACAAAGCAGTGATAGGTGATAATTTCTGTAGTTTCTCCACTAAGTGGTGCTAAATCCCCATGGATTGTAAAGCAAGTAACACTGTCAGGCTACTGGGGAATAAACATACTGCAGTATAAGAATGAAACCATAATGACATGTAAATTTACTGTGAAATAATGTAAGCACCTTTGACCTTGACTTTTAAAGGCCCTAAAAACTAACCTAAAAAACCCAAACAGTTAATATTTATTGACAGTACATCTCAAATTTATATATTAAGTTGAGGTGACATCACTTTCTTTTCTAACTGGGCCCCACCCATTTCAAACCAGTAAAAAAAAGCACTAAAGGAAACATCACAAACAGAAATCTGTCATGTTAAATAACCATAACTGTTGTGTTCTTGTTGGACCCCACACTCATTGGGATCCTTAAGAAAAAAAGTCCTACAGGGCTCTTTTGGTTATCTTTTGTTGGTTTGCTACAGGTTATTGGCTCCCAGGCTACAAACTGGAAAAGTCCTGGGCGATGGGTATTCATGTATGTGTGATGTACAATGCTCTGGAAACCGCGCTGGTGCTCCTTCAGGAAGGTGCAGCCATCAACCGCATGCCCAACGGGAAGACGCCGCTGCATGTGGCCTGCGAGGTCTCCAACAGCGACTGTGTTGCCTTGCTTTTGGCTCACGGGGCAAAGGTCAACAGCCTATCGCTGAGCGGTCACACACCACTGCACTACTGCATCACCAGGGAGTCTGTGGACTGTGCCAAGCAACTCATCCTCAAAGGTCAGGAGGCTAGGATGCATGGATAGATAGATATATTGGTAGATGGATGAAAGTGCAATCCAAAACAACAAAATAAGCATTGCTTTCTCCCCGTAAAGGAGCAAACGTCAATCTGCCCAGCCACAACAACAGTGAGGACACACTTTTACACACAGCAGCCAGATTCGGTGTCCCAGAGCTGGTGGCTCTCTACTTGGCCCATGGAGCGTCTGTGAATGCAGTCAACTCTCTCCAGGAGACTCCCCTGATGACTGCAGCCTTCTGGGGGTTTGACACCAAAGAACAAATCTACAGCCAAGATCACCATATTGTCTGTCGCCTTCTCCTGGACCACAAGGCAGGTGAGTTTTTGGACCATTTTGTATAAGACTTTCACTTTGTTTGTACTTATATTGTCATTGTTGTGCACCATGGCGGCTTTGATTTTTGTTGTCTACGACATTTCCCTTCTGTTCCAGACCCGAACCTCCAAGAAGAGGACCATAAAACTGCTCTTCACAAGGCAGCCTGGAGCTGTGATCATGTCCTGATGCAGATGCTGCTGGAGGCCGGGGCTGATACACAAGCCATGGACATCAATGGCTGTACCCCCATCCACTATCTCCTCAAAGTGACTGATGTCAGGCCTATGGCCATCCCTGAGCTCTGCTATCAGCTGCTGCTCAACTATAATGCAGCACGGATCTACCCGCCCCAGTTTCACAAGGTACAGAGGTGGACTGATGTTGTAAGATGATATTTTACCAATTAACTACAGCATCTATGACAAATTATATGTTGACATTGCAAAAGATCCTTGCTAGATTCTTGTGCTGTATGTCATTGTTGTGTTGTGTTGTTCTGTGCAGGTGTTGCAGTCCTGCCATGACTACCCCAGAGCAATAGAAATCATGGTCAACTCTTATGAACGTTTAAAGCCCACAAATAAGTGGAGGGCTGCCATTCCTGATGACTGCTACAAGGTAGTAAAAGGATCTATTGTAGTATGAAGTGTGTTCAGTGTAGAATGAAGTTGTAAAGAGTGTCATTACTAAAATACAGTACATGTGAATGGTAAAAAAAAAAAAAAAGACATTCTCAAACTTCACTTTGTCTCATATTTCAAGTCATACTACAGTGTTTGTTTTTCTTTCCTTAGCGACATAAAGTCTTCTACGACTCTTTGTTTGCGGTTTGCACCAACACTCCTCGCAGCCTGCTCCACCTGACCAGATGTGCCATCAGAGCCAATCTGCGTGGGTTCTGCCACAGAGGCGTAGCACAGCTGCCTCTGCCATCTCCACTGAAGAAATATCTATTACTGGAACCTGAGGGGATACTGTACTGATGAAGAGGCATGTGACGATACTCTAATATGTAGCCTGACGATTTAATAGATAATAATATAAACATTCACTACCTGTCTGCAGACCGATGCTATTTGGAGCTTTCACAAACAGGTGTGATTTTTAAATTTTTGCTATGCACACCATTCCCAGAGGCTTCTGTCTGGAACATAAGGAAATCCCTCAGAAGAAGCTTCATGCAGGCTGTCTTTGCTGGAGTGGAACCCTAATCACATGATTGCTATAAAACTGATTTACTAAGGTGGTTTGAGGCTTGGCATAATAGGGGAGGCCATCCAACTAATTGCAAATTATGAATCAGTTGACTGTTCAATCATAAATATTGGATTGAGGGACAGGTAAGAAAGTGGCAATTTACTGATGAAAATTGCTGTACTAATTCTAATAATAATTTATGATTTTGATTTGAGTTTTGTCTGCTGGGTCGCATGATACCACCATCCCATCCCCACAACCTCACTTTCTGTATTTCTTGTATTAATTTACTTTTATTATGAATTTTTTTGCAGTTATTTTTCACCCAGCACCATTTGAACGATGAGGCAGCACCATAATAGGGAGACAGAGGATCCAAATCTACCTGGCAACCTGCCTTAATGGGCCCTCTCAGGCTCATGCTCTTGTGATGCTCCACTAGTGATACTCCACTATTTGCAGAACAAACACTTGACAAAGCCCTCCACAAGAGGTGCTTGTTTTTCCAGTGGACTGCATTTGAAACCATGTACATGGACCATATTTGTTAGCTAGAAATACATACTAAACAACACAGCCCAAGAAAGCAAAACTACTATTTGAAGTATTTTCTCTCTACTCAAAAACAGTGATATTAACTTAAAATCCTTGCCAAGGTTTTGCATGTTTTATAAAAATGTCAACATCAGAAGTTATATTTGAACTGCTTTCCAGCCTGACTTCTACTTTCAAAGATTCTTTCACCAGTAAATTCACTGTAGATTCTTACCTAAAGGAAGACCACATTTGCATTTCAGTTAATTTTAAGTGTTATGTCTAATTTAACATGGGGAGATAATGCCAATGTTCTAGAGAGAGAGGCGCTGCTGAGCTATTAAGGGGTCTTTGTTGAAGAGGAGAAATAGGGGGAAATGAAAAGAGCAGTACCAGGTAACATTAAGATCTGAATTACGATGAGATCTTTATCTTAAAGCTTATCAGTATATTCGGATACACAGATAATGAATTTTAGTGTTACCAAAATTGTATGACTAAGATACATTTTTGCAGCTAACATATTGAAAGTGTGAAAAATGTCTTTGATTGTGTTTCATTTTAAAAACTTCCAGTTTCCACATTCTTCCCAGTACATGGGGGTCTGCGTTGTTCCAAATACAAGGTTTGTTTTTTACAAAGGAATTAAATGCCAATTAGATGAGTGACCTCACCTTCTTTCAACAGTTGTTTGCAACTGTGTTTAATGTGGCTGTTATCATTATGAACTTTATGGCAGTCCATAGGTCATACACATAAAACAGGTGTGTCTACGTGGTGACATTTTAATTCCATAATCAAATAATTATGTATTGTATACAATACATTAAGATTTTTCTAGTATAAATATTTTTGCCACTTTTAAATGCACACATTAAACAAAAACATTTGAAACAAACTCTCGCTGCAGCTTTCAGTCCTACTGTCATATCAGTTTGAAAGCAAACATGTCCTCAGTCTAGTAAGTAAACATACAATGTCAATAGTAAGGTTATCTCTCTTTGCTACCTACAATAGGTGTTTCTGTGGTTGTAGCTTTCAAGAATGTATTTAACAATCAACTCTCAGTTAAGCTCTGCAACAGAGTGCACTACTACCAAGCTCAGACAGCAAAACCTACACCTTAACATAAAACAACACAAGGGTAAGCTATGGTATTAATGTAGTAATATTTACTCTGATTTTACATTAGCACAAGCGTAAATTAAGTACATTATTGTGTCTTCAAACAATATTTGTTTTCCATTTTAATAAAAAGCCAATAACAAAAGCGAAGAGATCCAAATGAAATCTCTGTTTTAACTTACCATGTTTACCAGACATCTTCTGTAGAGGGAACATTGTCTGAATGACTGAAGGGTCAGACCGGACTCCCTGAGCTCTTAAAATAAACCAGTACAAGTCTGAGAGCAATTAGTGCTTCAGTTGTCCTGAAGTGTCTTTAATTGAACTACTGTATGTGATTAATGATGGAAATACTGTCCTTTGTTTTCCTCGTAGTTATTTGATGACCTGGTAATACTTGAAAATGGCAATTTACACACACAGCACCATGTTTAAAGCTTCAGCAAGGTGTTTGGAAATAGCTATTCAGTACGTCCAAAATTGAGTCAATTACTGAGTTACGAGGAATATATAAAACTAAAGAAGCTATAACTAAAGAATATATATTCTTTAGTTTAACAAAGTTACGGACCTTGAAGTGTTGAAATAGATGAGATTTTAAGTAAAATTTTACAAACAGTTCACTGAAGCTATGGAATGTGTTTCACATTTAACTATGCATGACCACTGTAGTTGTTATGACATGGCAGTGATCTTATTTTTTACTTTTTATTCTCTTATCTGTGAGAATGAGCTTGCATAACACTGTATTTGTATTGCTGCCATGCCAACAATGCCTCAGTGAGCTGGGGGGAAAAAATTGAGAATGACAAACAGAAAAGTAACACAACTAGAACAGAGCGCGACATGTGGGCACACTAATGAAAGGGGCAAAACAGAGCAGGACAGCCTGTTCTCAGCCCCTATTGGCAGCTGGCCACGAAAAGCCACTGTGTCTGCAACAGTGACAGACAGAGCAACGTTTCCTGAAAAGGGCTGTGGAGAGAGAGGAGGGAGTCACAGGGACAATAAGGGTAGCAACAACTTCCAGTGGCACATACTTAACACACTAGCAAAAGTGATAACTTTTGTGATAACAGGAAACCCTTTCATGTTGCATAAATTAATTTGTCCCAAAATACCAGCTAACAACAAGTAACTACAAATGCTCCAAGACAAACACACAGAAGCACAGGGTTGAGTTCAAAATATACCGTGAGCTGCAAAAGGCACAAATGACGTATTGAGAAGTGTCATGCTTTTTATTTTCTGCATTCACTGGTCCTTTTAGTGGTGAACCACAACTTCAGTACAGTAATACTTGGCCTTTGAGGGTAATGTTTACATAGCATAAAATGCGAACATGTCAGAGACACGTTCGAGGCAATTCTAAACACTTCAAACTTGACAAAGACTGAATTGAGAAATGTATGAAAGTATGATGGGTATCAAATGAGGACATGGGAAACGTGAATTTGTTAGATACAGATGCGAGAAGAAATCTACTAAATCAATACAGCTTACTTATAGCATTGTCTGAGCATATGACTATGAGGTTCCTATGTGTCTGCTACATTTACCTCAGTGTGTGTATCATCCCAACATGTTACACTGATCTGAGCATGATGGCTTACAGTGTTTCACATAACAGAAAGCTGAAGTACCGTTTTTCTGCAGTGCAACATTTAACATTTTCACACAGGCCTTCACACCCTCTAAAGCAAGTCAAATTAAATATACAGCACGTGCATCATCACACAACACTTGGGGAAATTACCAAATGACCTTCAACATGCAGAGATACACCATGTAGTTATAGACGGTTCATCTTAAAAAAAAAAACACTAAAAACATTTTTGTAAAAAGTTTAAAAAGTGTGTATTTTTAGCTCCTACTGTAATTAACTTCAGTTTCAACAGGGGAAAATTTTTGTGACGCTTGAGGTTAACTTGGCAGTTATTACAATCAAAATACAGTTATTAACAATTCAGTCATACATATTAACTTGCAATACTATGTTTTAACAATTCCACTTTTGCTCTGCTCTTACACTGTCTCAATATTCACCGTGATCCAGCTTTGAACGTAATCTCAGCTCGCATGTATTGAAGGCTCAGGCACAAGGTAGCACCAACAAGCAGAATCCTCTATTAAAAGCATAAAATGCTCTTTACATCCCATATTGAAGATGCTAAAACATTACAAATGGAACAATGGATTTTACATTGCAAAAATAATTTTGTTTAACACCACTCCTAACCATTCCATTTTTCTTATAGTGTCTCTGAAATGCTGCAGTTGTATGACAACTGCAATAAAATGCAGAAGTCGTATGAAGCATGCTGCATATGAAGGACTGAAGTGCTTTCATGAACAAACGTGGATGAGGCCGACTTTGCTCCCTTTTCGTTTATGCTGGAGTCATTGAATATGTTCCCATTCTGTTTAACTGACATGTTCCCACTGTAGCTGGCTTTAGCTGGGTTTTTCATATAACCTAATGCAAAGACCCAGTAAAATAATTAATCACAGAGCACATGTCTTTTTGAAAGAAAAGAAATGGATATGAACACAAATAGCTAGCACGCTTGTTTCACAGTGTAACCTTGTTATTATAACTAAATAACTGATCAGTGAGTGTAATGAGAGAGGCAAAAGGAGATTAATACTTGACTTTTCATTACTGATATCACAGGGCTTAAAGCAAGAAATTTTTCTGTGCCTTAAATGTGTTCGGGGTTTGCGACTGTGTTAAACTGATGGGGACATTGGGGCTCAGATTAGGGGTGTGGCATACACTTAGTTCATGAAACAAGAGGAAACACGATACTGGGTTCAAAAGAACAAGACAAGAAGATATTTGTACACTATTTTGAGCAAAAGTTCAATGTGGAAATGACGAGAGGGTCTGGGGGTCCTCCCCCAGAAAATTTTGAGCATTAAACACTTCATTTCCTGCATACTGGTAACATTTCCCGCCACCACATATAATCAGTGCTCTAAGTGGAAAATATAGGTGCTGGTAGGGCTGGGTAATACCACCGAAACTGTTATCCCGATAAAACATTTAATTTCATTCAAATATAATATATAAATGTCAAATCATTATTTCTTTCAAGTTTAAAGCCAGATTTTAGCTCATGAGTGAAAGTTCAAGAAACCCGATGGTTATTTGTGGTTTTAAACTATTTTTTTTTGTCAGAACAAACACTTGATGCCAAACAGTGGATCACTTAACAAATCTGAGGTAAAACATTCAAAACAATTATCATTAAGTAAATTAAAATGATTAAGTAATCTTTTTTCAGTCCCTTTTCCTCAACAAAATAAATATCTTAATAGAAAGATTAAGTGCTGATTTGTTCGTGTTTCAAATAACTTAAATAAAACATTTATTAAATATTTGTTATATTGTTACTGAGGAAACTTTTTGCGATAATTATCATTATTGTTTTATTGCCCAGCCCTACTGATAATTCCCATTCACACTGGGGAGTGTGTATCGTCCGGTACTAGGGATAAATTGTCTCATTAAAATATCAGATAACAGTATACTATAAAGCTTACCACTAGTGTAATGTTAATTCCAGTTGGACAGCAGTTTCATTTCTGTGGGGTTTTATTTATTAAATCCTTGTGTAAGAAAAATGATCTACAAAAATGATCTAATTAGTTAATGCTAAGCACTAACTCGTCAATAATCATTCATGCAGAACGAGTTCAACATTTTAAAAGTTTGCTGTAGCGCATCAAAGGAACCCAAGCATCTACCTGCTCTGTCTCCGCCGACAGAGATTAGAAGATAGTATACACCGACACACACACACATTCGACACTTGACGGGACAGTTATTTAAATTACAAGACATGTTTATATGTCGAATTTGTCGAATAAGAAAACACCCCACGGCAGAATTCCGGCACAGATCTGGAGAACTTTAAGCCCTGATATCAGTCTATAATCATCATACTGTATAATGAAATTAAATGTGGGGAGCATTTTCTGTGTTAAATTGCCTGGAGGCTGGCAGTAAAAGTTCAGCTGCATTTTTCTGATTCTTGACACAACCAATGAGCCTTTTTTCCCCATCTAGGTTTCTCTCTTGTGTGAGAAAGGAATCCACATTACACAAGTCCAGGTCCAACAACACGCTGAGAGCATTCGGTGCCATCTCCCACACTTACAGTACAAGCTTATAAATTTCTCCCAACACGGGCCCTCTTTTTCTTAATTCTATTAGTGAAACTATTTTGTCCTCCACCTCCTCCCTCAGTCCTCAATCACCGAGTCCTCTCATACTTGCCCAGTTTCTTTGGATCCTTGCTGGGCATGCACCAGTCATCAGCCTCAGTGGTCGCCTGGTAATGCCGTAAGGCTGACTTGTTGAAAACAGGAAGTCTCTCTATTGACTCTGAGGACAAGGCCTGTGATACAAAAGGAGAAACTTATAAGTCTGGGGTCAGATCCAGGTTGTTTCTCACTGGGCTTTCCTACAAAGCTTCATCTGTGCAAGATTAAAACTCTACACTACTTAAGTAGAGACTGCAAATGTCTGCCACCACTCAGTCCAGTATGTGTAGTGGAAAGGATATTTATATGTGAACGTTACACCAACGTGGCCATTTTTTTTACATAGTCAAATCATAGTGTTTGGAGGTAGCGCTGTTCTCACCTTCAGGTATATGACAGCTGAGGTGCCATAGCCCTCCATAGAGTAGAGCTGCAGGTCTCCCTGGAAGTACTTGGCATACAGACGGGAGATGGGCAGGCCATAGCCAAAACCAGCCTGAAGGAAGGAGGGAGGAAAGGAAGTATACGATTGCAGTATCAATAAAGATTAGCATATATGGACCAGTTGCTAAAACATTACAAGATTAAAAACACAGAGTGGATAACAACTGAAGCTCCAATACAGGCATTCATCGGGGACAACAAACTCAGGCACCAATCGAAAAATGTATCCAACCGATGGCTTAAGAATAACTTGACGCACAGCAATAAGCTGCTAAGGTGGATAGGATATGATACAGACATTTCTCCTAATATAAGACATATGGCCCACATATGTTTTGGGAAATATTGGAAAATAAGAAGTGTAAACGTTTTGAAGAAATTAAAGAACAGTTTAGCTTGGGAAATCAAGATTTTTATAGATGCAAGTGAGGCATTATTTAGAGCATCATATAAAAAAGGAAAATTTTGACGTGGAGGTAAACATTATAAAACTCTTTATCTCCGCATACCAATCTAAACTAAACAGGAAATTAATTTCAAAGATATATTCAGGGATAGAAACTTTAAAAGGAGAAGATATACACACTACATAAAACAAAAATGTGAAATTGAAGCAAACATAAAATTCACAGATGAGGAATTGGAAGATTTTACTCAACAAATATGGAGAGTGACATCCTCCTTAACTTGGAGGGAACATGGATGTAAAAACTGAATGAGATACTTTAGAACTCCAGCTCAGACAAAATATCGGGATACAAGCTGTTGGCGGGGATGTGGGGAAAAGAGTGCAAATCATGTTCATATTTTTTGGATTTGTCCTTCGTTTGTGAAATATTGGATGGAACTTAAACAATGTATGGACAAGATGTTACGGATAAATCTCCCTTTCACCTTTGACACATTCTATTTGGGAAGACTTGATATGCAAGGTAAAAAGAATCTGAATTGTAAAATGTTTCAAATCATGTTACTAGCAGGAAAAAAGGGAATTACTAGGAAGTGGCTAAAGGTGGAAGCGCCAAGAAAGGAAAATTGGGTTGATGTGATGCATGATATATACATTATGGAAAAACTGACTTCCACCTGTAGATTTGAAATGGATAAATTTGAGAGGTTGTGGAATGGATTCTTGAAATTTATTCGGCCAATAAGATCAGACTTTATGTGAAACATTATACCTGGGACACTCTTGCTCTTTTTTTATGTGGGGGGGGGGGGTTCATTTCGTTTTGTGGAAAAAGAGGATGATGTAAGACAAGATAAAAAATTATGTTTTATATGACCAAATGTGTATTTATGTCTTGCAACATCAATAAAAAATAAATAATAAATAAATAAAAAAACACAGAGTGGATACTGTAGACGGTTTGCTCTGTAAAAAGGTCTTCAGTTTTTCTTATGTGCCTGTACGCTTGAATCCAAGGAAATGTTGCTAACTATATGTTCCTCTTTGTAATAAGCTCATTTGCAACAATGTTCAGTTGTGCGAGTTGCTATTTAGCACAGGGAGGATTACATTTTAGTTGATTTTTAATCCCAGTTTAAAGCAGCACCACAATAGTTTACTGAAGTGCAATCTCATGTTTAGAATGCAAAAGCAAGCTTGTAGTCTAGCAGCATAGTGTGTACTGACTGAGACACTCATCAAGCAACAGGCTTAGTCTCACCAGTGGCGCATTGCGAGAGTTGTCTGCATGGACTGGACTGGGAGCTGTGGAGTACATGTAGCTGAAGAGACGCTCAATCTTCCTCAGAGGGACTCCACCTCCTCTGTCAGACATCTAAAAATAGAGAGAGAGGTATGCTAGATTTACAAGGGTCCTCGCATTGTTCTGCCAGCAGGCTCATATCCATTGAATTCATAAGCTCTTCATCATTTGCCATTTGAATGGAATCTAAACAATGCCATATTTTCCCAATCAAGTCATACAGGTTAGTTTAATTTATAGTAAATACCAAGGTAACAAGGTCCACATGGACACACATACTGTATACATAGTATAGTTAAATGGCACAACAGTTCTTTTTCCCGGATTCCCTGTGCACTGCCTTAAGTATAAAGGTTGTGGTCTATCTTAACTTTCAGTATCGTCAACTACCTTGATAGTGAGGTCCTCACTCCCCAGTGAAACTCTCACTTTGATCGGGGGCAACGTGGGGCTCGTCTCATGGGTCTCTACTGTAGCTCTCATGGCGTTCTGACAAACAACATGCACAGTGGACTACAGAATGAGCAAGCAAACACATGGCGAAGAATAATTTACTTCTTCTTTTACAGGTTTGTTGGGCGCAGTACCTTGAAAAGCTCAAACAGCATATGGTAGAGATGGGATGGCACATAGACAATGTGGAGGGGCTGGTCAGGGTTTTTGGCTGTGAAACATCAGATAATATATTGATCACATGGAGGGAAGAAAAAAGACACTTTTGACATCACTATTGTAAAACCCTGACTGAAAAGTACACCAGTAAGTTGTGA